TTTTCTTGGCAGCACAGAGCCTTGGGCTCTCCAGCCCAGGGAGGGGACTATAAGGAGAGCTGAGGAGGGCTCTAGGAGGGGTCACTAACCCAGTTAGGTGGCCTTGCTGCCCTTCTCAGGAGCTCAGGGCCTGCCAGTGGTCCAGGATGCCTCTATGAGGAGCCTCCTCTCTGCTCACCGAGGGGGACTGTGTGGCTGGCCTGCCAAGCAGGGAGCTGCCTGGGAGAAAGGGGCCACCCAGCCCGGGGGTGGGAGCCACTTATAAGCCCCCACAAGGACTGACTTTACCTGGGACTTGTCCCAGCTCCCCCAGGGCTGTTGGTGGGGGTGTCAGTAATGGGAGTTAGGAACTATGGACCCCTCTCCTGCCCAGGGCATCACCTGGCCCAGGGCTGCCTGCCAGAGGGGCCTTCCTGGGCAGTTCTGAGGGGCTCCTTGTGTTGAAACTCCCTCCCCCATTTCCACAGTGTGGAGCCGGTAGTGTCATCTGAACAAATGCCCTGGGACAATGGTCCCCCCACCCCACCCCCATCTGACCCTCTGGACCCACAGGTCTCAGGGTGGCTGTTCCAATGGGCAATAGTAGTAGGCTGGGGGAGGTGGGGACAGGCAGTGCCCAGGCCCCTAGGCTGGCACGTGTGTGCTCATCCTCCCTCCTAGGGCCCAGGAGAGGCTAGATAATCGTCTGGAGGGACTCCAGCTGGGCTGCTCACTGCCAGAACCCTCTTCCTGCCTCTGACACTCTGTTTACAGAAGCTCTGGGGCTGACTCCCCTGGGAGAAGACAGCAAACCCAGGGGACTGCTCCCCATCCCCCTACAGCCTGTCCCAGCTCTGCTGGGCTTTGCTAATAGCTGGGCTCATACTAGACTTCACTGCCCCCTGGGCTGGCTCTAATGGACTCCACTCAGAGGGCACCAGCCTGGACACCCCTCTATGCCCCCAATACCCAAAGTGCAGCCTAGCATGAATGAACCTTTCAGATTTTGTCCAGTCCCCTGCCCTGGAGGCTCTCTCTTGGCCTAGGGAGGAGGGCTCTAGTTCTGGTGCCCCCAGAGCCTCACCTGCCCTTGGTGCAAAAGTCAAGCAGGCAGACATCTAGACCCTCAGGACTACTTCTTTCTTCCACCCTACACACTCCACCCTTGGGCCACAGCAGAAGTGGTCAGCGACCCTGGCATGGTAATCGTTAACGAACCGGGGGGGGTGAGGCAGAATGGTTGGCACCAATCGGCTGGCCTGCCAATGACCACAGGAGACCTCAGCAGTCCTCAGGCCCCAGCCCTGCCAGCCCAGGACACAAAGGACTGGGCTGGCTCCAGGCCATTAGGTTTGCAGGCCAAGCAAAGCCCTGTCCCTGGCAGAGGCAGAGATGGGGCACCCTGCTACCTCGGGCACTAAATGCCCTCGCAGCCAAGGTGCATCCCCCACCTGGAAGAACAGGCCATCAGATATCTACCAGCCGTCCCCCAACCCCTCCCCAGGGCTGCATATCTGTGGTCCCCTGCTCTGTGCTGAGTGACAAGGGTCCTGAGGACCCTGGGCAGCCCGTCTGCACAGGGGCACTGGGCTGCCAGACCCTAGGAGGAGAAGTAACCCAAGACCACGGTAAGACCATCCCCTGAAAGGGGTTTGATTCATAAAACTGGTTATGCCGGAGGGCCCGGCCGTGGGAGGAGGAAGCAAGGGGGGCTGTTTATTTTGTCTGCTCGCAGCCTTGCCGGCTCACCGTACACGCCAGCGCTCACCCAGGCCGGCCGCGGGGCTGCCGGCGCCCCAGGACGGCCCGGGAAGGAGGTGCACTGGGCCTGCCCACCGCGCGCCGGGTCGGCCCAGGTGACTGTGCGGGGCTGGGGGCCGCGGTCCCGCCGGCGAGTGCGTGTGCGCGCGGCGGGGGTCCGCGCGTGAACGGCGCGTGTGCACAGCCTGACCGTGGCGTCCCGGTCCCGTCCGCAGCCCCCCAGCCCCGCAGAGACTCACCGAAGGCGGCGGCGGAGGGAGCCGGGCAGGGCGGGCTGCGGCCTCAGTCCTTCCCGGGCGGCCGGGGTCCCGGGGTCCCGAGACAGCCGTGTCCGCGTCTCCCCGCCCGGGCTTGGGCTCAGGAGTCGGCTCACCAGAGGCGGGTCGCGCCTTAAGAGCCGAGGGGGGCGGGGCCGTCGCGAGCGGGGGCGGGGCGTCTCCCCATTGGCCGGGGCGGGGCCGCGTGGAGGCCCGCCCCCTTTTGCGCCGAGGGCCTCCGCCGCCCGGGCGGCCTGAGCCTTACCCCGCCGCCCCCCGACCTGGGCCGGCGGGACCTCGCGCGGCCTCGTTTCGAGTCCCGGGCTCTGGTCTGTCTGCGCTAGTTTGCTATGTGTCCTGCCTTTTGTGTAAAAGCAAAGCGACTGTTGAGGGAGACCAGGCAGGTGACATAAATGCGAGAAGCAGCGCCCAGGGCCCGTGGAGACCTGGAGAGGCGGGGATGGGGGGAGCGAGGCTGGCGAGAGGGCTCAGGCCTCATGACCGGCCCCAGCCTGCCAGAGCTGCGGATTTGAGGAGAACTGGAAATCCAGATTTTTAGGTGAAATCCTTCAGAGTATTGGTAGTGGTTAATCCCAATTTCAGAGAACTCCCGAGCAGGCCACTCAAAGCCTTTTCGAAAGCTTGCCAAATCTGGGATCCTTTTAGCCCTGACAGCCTTCGGGGTTGGGAGCATCCCTGCAGCCCCTCACCCCACATTTTAGGCAAAGGGACAGAAATAGGAAGGGCAGTGAGGGTCTGCCCAAGCCCCACAGCTACTGGCAGCTTTAAGTCCAGGATGGGGGGCTCACTGTCAGTGGGTGGGGCCTGGGCTGCAGTTGACAGTGGCCCTTATTGGGCAGTAGGGGCGGGTGCCAGGGGCTGGATTAGTCCAGAAAAATCCCCTGCCTTGGAGGATTCCAGGAAAACACTCTGCCCCCCCTCCCTCACCCTCCGTGTTTGTGGTCAGAGTCATGCCTCAGAGCCTTTGGGGACCCAGCTCAGCTCCCGACTTCCAGAGAGTCCTGGGACACCCGCAGCCCCTCCAGCCCGGCTTGCAGCCAAAGCCTTTGGCAGGGCCAACTCTAGTCTTTAGGGGGCCTGAAGGCTTGTCCTGGGAGGTTGGGCCACACCAGCTGGAGAGTTGCATAGTCTCTGGAGGACTCAGTTGCCTTCAGAAGGCAGGATAGCCTCTGTCCAGTCATTGTCAGGGGCTAAGTAGGGTCTGTCTGCAGCAGTCACCTATAGATGTCCCCTCCTCAGGGTCTTCTTCCCACAGGGCCCCTTCCAGGACAGGCAGGGCTGCATACCCCACACGTTTCTCAGTATGCACAGATATAGGGCATGGCTTGTGAACCTCTGCTTCTGGACCAGAGCTGGCCCTTGAGGACATTTAGTGTGGCCTACATGAGAGTTTTGTTTTGTTTTTTAAAGAGGCATTTCGCTCTGTCACCCAGGCTAGAATGCAATGGCATGATCGTAGCTCACTGAAGCCTTAAACTCCTGGGCCCAAATGAAGCAGTCCTTCTGCCTCAGCCTCCCAAGTAGCTAGGACTATAGGCATATGCCAACATGCCTGACTATTTAAAAATTTTTTTTGTAGAGACAGGGTCTCACTATGTTGCCCAGGCTGGTGTGGAACTCCTGGCCTCAAGTCATTCTCCAACCTTGGCCTCCCTAAGTGCTGGGAGTTTTTAAAACTTTGAAGGCATTGCCAACATTGCAATGTCAGGTGATTTCACATTAAAATGGGGCTTCCCAGCTTGCCTTAAACAGGAACTTTTGCCTGGGGCTGAGTGACAGCTGCCCCCTGTGGCCAGGGCTCACGGGTCACCCTAGTCTCCACCTCTCCCTCTTGTCCCACACCAGGCTCTTCACTCCAGTTTCCTGCCTGACCCCAGAAGCATCTGAGTTTGCCATCAGGGCCATGTGGCTTCTTGCCAGACTATTCCTATGCCTATTCCCTTGGGCCATGTGTCTTCTGAGGCCCTCAAGAGTGTCCACAGATGCCTGGGGCCAAAGAGAGGGGTCCCAGAGCCTCCAGCCTGGCTTTCCCCAAGAAACAGGACTTCCTGACGACTCTTGCCTTTCACCTCTGGTGAGTTCTCGAAAGTGGAGAGACCCTACCTGCCTAACGTGTCCACCCCTCCTCGATCCTGTGCCCTGGGCTCACATAGGTCCCATCCACCCAGAGGCTCAAGAGCAGCTTCTAGGGGACCCTCCCCAGTCTGCCCAACCTTTCTACCACTCTCTTAGAACCGGGTTACCAGCAGCCTCTGTGGAGGGTGGGGACTAGGAAGTGCAGGTTAGGTCCAAGGGTCCTAACTGCCTAGCCTGGACGACAGGGACAGACAGGGGACCTGGACTGCTTTGGATCAGGGGCAATGACATGCTGTCTGGGTTGGTGGGAAGGGACTTGAAGGGGGAGAGAGGCTGGAGGGGAGAGCTGGGGGTGAGGGGGTTGGCGGCTGCTGTGCCTAGCCAGCACACCCTTGCAGCTGTCACTGCAAACGGATGGCAGGAGTGCTGGGAGAGTGGGCAGGGATGACCAGGAGCTGGAAGCCCCCTCACACCACCCAATTGGTACCATGGCTGTCCTCTACTTCCGGGGCCTGGGCTGAAGGCGGGGGGCAGATCTGGGCTCTGGACCTTCTGTGATCTCTGGTCTGGGCAGGCCCCTGGACTGGGTCAGGGTCAGAGCCCTTCCCTCAAGTCATAGCAGGAGAGGGGCCAGCACTAGCTCTCACCACCACTGGCCCTCTGCCAGGCCAGGCTCATGCCCAGCGTTCCGGACCCAGACCTAGTTTAGCTCTCTTAAAGAGGCCTGGGGTCAGGCCTATGCCAGCTGTTGGCCAACCCTTGAGACTGGGTGCCATGACCCCATTCCCTTGCTCGTGCCGTGGCGGGCAGGATGCTCCTGCCTGGCAGAACTGCCCATATGGCTCTGCCTTAGGCGAGGAAGACTGGCCTGACCTGTTGGAGGAGCCCGCCCTGCCCTCCCTGGCTTCCTGCCCCCCCCCAGCTTCCTGCCCCCTCACCCCCAGCGCCTGAGTCAGTGGGCCAGCTGGCTGGGGCTGACAGGGCAGGGTGAGGGAGGCCAGCCAGGCCGGGCCTCTTCAGGAGGCTGGTTCAGGGCACAGATAAGCCATCAGTGCCATGGTGGAAGCCGCAGGCCTGTTCTGTAGTCCCCACCAGGGCAGCAGGGGCCACCGGAGCCCCTGCCCAGCCCACCTGCTCTCAGTCTCTGCCCAGAGCTGCACCTGCTCCTGCTCCTCCCAGCCTGTCCCCACATAGCAGCCAGTGTGACCCGTGCTCAGTGCCAATCTGTTCTATCCCCCTTTGTTTAAAACACGCCATAAGCTTTTTGTTGCTTGACTGCTGGAGGCAGAGCTCGCCTCTCCCGCACCAGGCCCCTTTCCTGCAGCTTCTACCCTTCCTGGCCCAGCCTCAGCCCCTCAACCTCACTGCCCAGGCTACCAGGTGCATCATCCTTCTCAGTCTTCAAACAGGCCCTGTATCCACCTGCCACAGGACCTTTGCATATGCTGCTCTTTAGAACTCTCTCCCTGTGACGTGTTTGATTTCTCCATAACCTTGGGGTTGCAGGGAGCACCTGTCCCTCATGGCCCTGGGCCAAGTCCCCTGCCCCCCACTTCATGTCCTCAGAGAACCTTTCCTTCATGTATTTGTCTGTGGGATTATGTCTGCCTCTCACATCAGGATGTGACCAACTTAAGGACGGGTGGGGTCTGTCACATTCATCTCTGGCCATACCTGCAGTTCCAGCCATGGGTCGGGCACAGACCAGCTAATCAAAGGAATGAATGATTGTGAATGAATGAATGAGTGAGTGAAAGCCCTGTTAGAGCTACTGAAGGGGTCATGCTTCTGGCCCCCTTCTGGGAGCCAGTGTCGGTGTGGAGGGCACCTCAGGTCACACAGTACCTTTGTCCTCCACCCAGCCCCTCCACCGCAGCAGGCAGTGGTCAGGCTAAGCTGAGAAGGGCAGTGCTGAGTCGGGCTCACCGGCCGCCCAGGGTAATTAGGGGCCTGTGTTACTCACAGGTGACCAGCCCAGGGCACTCCAGGAAGTTGTGGAGACACTCAGGGCCCCACCCAGCCTCCCAGCCCACTGTGGCTCCTGGCAGGTTGGGGAGGTGGGCAGGAAGACGTGGGGGGCAGCGTGCTGGGAGGGGATGGGGTGGGGGCGGGGCTGGGCCCTTTGTTGCCTGGGTGAGGGATGGAGGCAGCTGCCACAGCTGGGTGACCTCTGACCGCCAGGACCACAGTGGGGACGGGGTTCAGTTTAAGGGTGAGTGTCAGCATCAGGGTGGGGGTCCAGGCCTGTGAGTCGCCAGGGATAGATAAGAAGCCAAGGCCAGGAACAAGAAACAGAACAAGGTGTCCGTCAGAGTTCTTCTGGGCCCCCTACTCCCCTAGAAGCTGGAAGGCAGCTCTTCGATGGCTGGGACTGAAAAGGGGCCTCCTCGGGGCCTGGGCTGGGCCGTGTGAATCCCTGGGCAGTGATGGGCAGTGGCAGGGCCCTAGGGGCTCCCAGCCTGTCCTCTGTGTTCCTAACTCCCCGCTTCGTGCTGTGACCCCACCTGGGGCACAGAGAGGGCATGGGAGGACCGTGCCAGCCACTCGGCCTGTGCCGTAGCCCTGAGGAGGCAGGGGGCCCGGCGGCTGAAGGGGCCCTTCTCCTGGGCGCTTGGCTCCGGCTCAGGCTTGGGGGTTTCAAGTCAGCGTGGGGGGTCTTGAGTCTCTAAGATATCGTTAAGGCCCAAGGAGCGTGAGCTGAGTAGATGCCCCAAAACTTGGTGCAGACCTGGGTAAGCAGCACTGGGTAGGGTGGGGGCCTCCCTGGTTCTGGCAGTGACCCCGTCACCTTCCCCAGAAATGCCGACCCAGTATGTAGGCTGACGGGTGGGATGGGGGACAGCATGTTTGTGGGGTCTTCTTGGAGGATCACGGGGGTGGGCGGGATCTGGCTTGAGCTCCCCCGTGCCCAGGCCGAGTGTGAGTCCTGGAGTGATGCAGAGGCACAGGTGGAGGGCCCCAGGGGACGAGCTGCTGGGCTGTGGGTGTGCGCCTGGCCTGGGCCTGTTGGTGGCACAGGGAGAGGAGGCGGAGGCTGCTAGGGACCAGGCTGGACGTGGTGGGAGGGGCTGAGAGCTCCTGGGCACTGGGGCACCTGTCTGGAGCTCCTGCCTGGGTCACAGGGCTTGCAGCCCTCCCACTGCCCCTCACCTGCCATCACCACCTGGCCCTCTCCCCAGGTCTCTGGTGCCCCTGCTGGACCCGGACTCCAGGCTGCTGGTGCTGGCAGGAAAGGTGAGCCAGAGCTGGAGCCCCCCGCGTCCACCGCCCAGAGTGCACCCCCAGGGCGGCTGCCCTTACTTGCTCTGCCCCTGAGAGAGGAGGAACTAGAACAGGGCAGCCCAGGCTGCTGCCCGGCCCCACCATGGCCGGGCTCTAGAGCAGCCTCCTGCCAGGGCCTCTGCATCTTTCTGGTGCAGCCGAGGTGACTGTGACTTCCCCGGAACCTTGGCTTCCTGGGAGCAGACAGAGAACAGAGCAGCGTTAGCACACAGGCGGCGCTCCATAAATGCTGACGCACAGCCTGGTGCTCCCCATATGGCGCGGTGATGCTGAGCAAATGAGGTGAAGCATACCTCGGGCTCAGCTCAGCACATGGAAGCCACCGCGACTTCTGCTGCGTTCTGTGGCTCGAGTCCTGGAGGAGGGTTGCGGGGAGCTAGGGCCAGACCTGGGCCACTGCTCGGGCAGTGAGTGGAGCTCAGGCTGGGCCTTTTCAGGGTGAGAGTCAGCTGTACTGCTACGAGGTGGCCCCGCAGCAGCCAGCACTGAGCCCAGGTAGGCCTCGCCCGCTCCCGCCCCTCCCCTGGCCCTCCCCTTCCCCACCCTGCCTGTCCCCCTGTGGTGTCCTCAACAGTGACCCAGTGTGTCCTGGAGAGTGTGCTGCGGGGGGCAGCCCTTTTGCCCCGGCGGGCGCTGGCTGTCATGGGCTGCGAGGTGCTCCGCATCCTGCAGCTGAGTGACACAGCCATCGTACCCATCAGCTACCACGTGCCCCGCAAGGTGAGGGGGCCTGGGAGGGGGCAGGGAGCAGGGGGCAAGGGCCTGGGGTGTGGGCGGCCCAGGCCTCACTGGCCACCTGCCTGTCTGCCACCAGGCTGTGGAGTTCCACGAGGACCTGTTCCCAGACACTGCGGGCTGTGTACCTGCCTGTGACTCCCACACCTGGTGGGCTGGGAGCAGCCAGCAGGTAGGCCAAGGTCTGGCGCTCCTGGCTTCTGCCAGCCCCGGTGTCCGCAGTCTGGCTGTGCGCCAGCTCAGCTGGGCCTACCTGTGTCCCTGTCCCTGCCGTGTCCATCCTCCACCCCGGGGCTCCCTCCCAACCCGGTGGCTTGTACCCCCACAGCCTCAACTGCCAGCCTCCCCACAGGTACAGAAGGTCAGCCTCAACCCCTCCTGCCGGCCCTGGCCCAGCTTCATATCCTGCCTGGTGCCCCCCATGGAGCCCTCCACCAACAGAGCCCAGCCTCGGGAGCCACCTGTGGGTGACGCAGACCGGAGCACAGACCAGAGCGTGAGTACCAGGGCTGCCCCCGCCTCCCGTGTTCGCCTGCCCGACGGCCTTGGTAGCAGAAACAGAAAACACACACAGAAAGGAATGTAACAGTGTTTTCTAAATTGAGCAGACACCTAAAAAGCAAGACTTCTCACGTACAAAGCTAGATTTTTGGCTCCTCTTGAAATGCTGGCAGATCTACCTCTCTGGGCACACCCTCCTGCAAGGCGGGAGCCAGCCCTGCTGCCTGCTGTCCCCAGGGCCTGAAGCTCAGCCGGCTTCCCCATCTGTGTCCCCCCCATCCCCTACCCCCAGAGGGGCTCGTGCCCGCTGAGTGTCCTGCAGCCCCGAGGGGCAGAGAGTGATGGCCCTGGAGTCGCCCAGCATCTCCTTGTCCCCTTGTGCCTTGGTCAGCATGCCCAGGGTCCTGCCCCCTGACCCACACTTCCCCCCAGGAGGGCTTCTCCTCGCCGCCCAGCTCGCTGACCTCGCCCTCCACGCCCTCCAGCGTGGGGCCCTCGCACTCCAGCACCAGTGGCATTGGTACCAGCCCTAGCCAGCGGTCTCTGCAGAGCCTGCTGGGTAAGTGGGTTGGACGGGGAGCTCACCCCCTACCATGGGAGTTACCCTACCCCTGTCACCCTCCTCTGTTCCCCCAGCTCCGCCTTGTCCTGCCTTGAGGGGAGGCCTCACACGGGGCACCCCTACTCACCCAGACTCTTGGCTCCAGCAGGGTCACCTGCCCTGGGGGCTGGAGTGAGCATGCGGATCCTCACCTGCAAAATGGGAGGGTGCTGGGACCACTGGTTTCCCAGCAGCCCCCTGGAGCCCCAGGGATCCACCGAGGTCCCAGCGGGAGCAAGGATCTTGTGCCCAGGCGTGATTCCCAGGCCCATGCTGCGTACCCGTCACCTGCCCATGGTGAGGGGCTCCGGCAGCCAGGCGGGCAGGCACGGCATCCTCACACGAGGCTTCCTGTCCCTGCCCCCTCCAGGCCCCAGTTCCAAGTTCCGCCACACTCAGGGCACCGTTCTCCACCGAGACAGCCACATCACCAACCTCAAGGGCCTCAACCTCACTACACCCGGCGAAAGCGATGGCTTCTGTGCCAATCAGCTGCGTGTGGCTGTGCCCCTGCTCAGCAGTGGTGGGCAGGTGGCAGTGCTTGAGGTGAGGGCCGCCACCCTGCCAGGGCTGCCCTCTGTTCCCTGCAGGCGGCGAGGGTGCTGAGGGCGTTAGCCACCCCCACCTGCTCACTGAGTGCACACTGTGTGTCAGGCCCCTGCCCAGCCTGTCCTGTAATCCTCCCGGCCGCCCCATACAGAGGTGCCACTCTTATTCCCATTTTACAAATGAGGGTGAAGAGGCACAGAGAGGTTTAGTGACCTGCCCAGGTCACACAGCTGTGTAAGTGGTGAAGCTGGGATTCAAACCCAGATCACCTGAGTCGCAAGCCTGAGCTCCTCCCACCAGTCCACGCTGCCATCCCCTCACTTTCTGGGGCCTCACGGTTGGCACTTGGGCTCAGAGCACAAGGTGGCTAAGGCTGAGAGCTTGGCCATGCGGCCGTGAGGGCATCTGCTGGGTGGGGGCCCAGGTGCACTGCTTGCCCCGAGTCCCCTGGGAACTGGCTGTCCTGCCTGGCACTGATGGGCTACTGGGTGGGGGCACCTCCCGCAGCTGCGGAAGCCTGGCCGCCTGCCCGACACAGCGCTGCCCACGCTGCAGAACGGGGCAGCTGTGACTGATCTGGCCTGGGACCCCTTTGACACCCACCGCCTTGCTGTGGGTAAGGAGGCTGGACAGCCGGCTTGAGGGAGGGTCCTGGGTCCTGAATGGGCCCAGCAGTGATGAGCTGTCACTCTCCTCAGCTGGTGAGGACGCCAGGATCCGACTGTGGCGGGTGCCCCCAGAGGGCCTGGAGGAGGTGCTTACCACGCCTGAGGCTGTACTCACAGGTCGGCTGGGCCTGGGATGGGGACGTGGGTGGGCAGTGGCTCCTGAGGGCTCACTGTCACCCCACACCTCTCCCCTAGGCCACACAGAGAAGATCTACTCCTTGCGTTTCCACCCGCTGGCAGCTGATGTGCTGGCCTCCTCTTCCTACGATCTCACCGTTCGCATCTGGAACCTTCAGGCTGGAGCTGAGTGGCTGAAGCTGCAGGGCCACCAGGACCAAGTAGGCTAGCTGCAGAGGCAGGGGCCCAGCCGTGAGGTGAGAGGCTGTCTCTCATGTCACCTCCTGTCCCCAGATCTTTGGCCTGGCCTGGAGTCCCAACGGGCAGCAGCTGGCCACCATCTGCAAGGATGGGCGTGTGCGGGTCTACGATCCCCGGAGTGGCCCTGAGCCCCTGCAGGTGAGTGAGTGTGGGCTGGGGGTGGCCCTCAGACCCTGTTCGGAGAGCCCTGGCTGGGCTTCATGTGATACATCTCAACAGGAAGGCCCAGGGCCCGAGGGGGGCCGTGGAGCCCGCATCGTCTGGGTGTGTGATGGTCGCTGTCTGCTGGTGTCTGGCTTTGACAGGTGAGGACTCGGGGACCGCCATTCCCAGGCTCTAGCAGCCACCTGTGTCCCCTTCCCCAAAGACACATACACCTTTCAGGCTTGCAGAAGTTGTCCCTGCCCCCGATGGCTGAGTGGGGAGATGGACGGATGAATGAGAAGATGAGCGGGGAGATGGTGGACGGGGATGCAGATGGATGAGGGGAGGGAGGGGGAGTGGGTGGATGAGTGGGAAGGGAGAGAGTCAACAGGGGACCCAGAGGGACGAGAACCAGGCCCTGCTACAAGGAGCCTGTGCCTGAAGTGGCCCAGGTGAGGCACAGGAAACGGAACCAGGCCAGCTGGAGAGGCCTGAGAGATGAGCATCTGGTGCTTTGCGGGGGACCAGGCAGGGCCTCCCGAGGGAGGCGTCATCTGAGCTGGGTCACAAAGGGGCTGCTGAGCAGAGACCTGGAGGAGAGGGCAGGCAGGTCTGGGTGGAAAGGCCAGGAAGCTGCCCAGCCTGGCTGGAGCAGAGGGCAAGAGGCAGGATGTGGGGAGAGAGAGTCAGACTGAGAAGTCACAGTGGCCCCGGGATGGAGCCGCAGCCGGGACTGCGCTGAGGAGGGGCTGGGACAGAGGGGCAGGTTGGGACACTGCTGCCCGAGGCCAGGCTAGTAGTGCTGAGGGCCAGCCTGGGCCTCTCCTACAGCCCAGAAAAGGGTAGGGGACACATTGGAGTCAGCCCTGCCCTCACCTCTCCTGCTCTAAGGACCTGCTTCTGCACCGCCTCTCCTTTGCAGCCGAAGTGAGCGCCAGCTGCTCCTGTACGCGGCCGAGGCCCTGGTGGGCGGCCCCTTGGCAGTGCTGGGCCTGGATGTGGCCCCCTCGACCCTGCTGCCCAGCTACGACCCGGACACCGGCCTGGTGCTCCTTACCGGCAAGGTGGGCTGGGCTGGGGGTGGGCGGCAGCGGGTGAGAGGAGGTGGGATTAAGGCCGGTGTAGCTTCACCACCATCGCCCCCTCCACCTCCTCAGGGCGACACCCGGGTGTTCCTGTACGAGCTGCTCCCCGAGGCCCCTTTCTTCCTGGAGTGCAACAGCTTCACGTCTCCTGACCCCCACAAGGTGAGGCCAGATGGGACCACAGGCTTCCCCGCCCCCTTGTGGCCATGTGGAGCAGTGCAGCGGCCTGCGGGGCGGCGGGCCAGCCTCCTGGTCTGGGGCTGGTGGTGACAGTATCTAGGAATTTTGAGAGTAGTTGTTGCATTAACCATTATTAATAAACTATAATAAAAGTTCAACTATATGAACCCCCAATATGAATCTACAAATATATTAAAAACTAAGGTAATCCTTAGTTTATCGCTTCCTACTTATTTTATCAGATTTTACTGTTATTTGTGCTGTCACGGTCATGCACATCTGTTGGATCTGTGTGGTGGCAATGATGCGATGCGTTATCGTACGTCTCTTCCTAACAATACGTTCAGTGAGTTGAGTTGGTAGCTTGAAATCGGCCATGGCTCGAGTTTCTACTCTGGAAATAGGCAAATGCTACAAATCAAGGCTTTTCCCTCCAGAAAGCCAGTCTTTCAACGTTACTAGCACGTCACTGTGCAGGGACAGACTGTGGTCCTGGTGGTCCTAAGTGAGGAATGTTGTCTCCCTGGGGATGCTGTGCCCGGCCACGAGCTCTGGGCCTCAGCTCCAGCTCCAACCCCTCGATTCCTCAGGGCTTCGTCCTCCTGCCTAAGACGGAGTGTGACGTGCGGGAAGTGGAGTTTGCCCGATGCCTGCGGCTGCGCCAAACCTCCCTGGAGCCCGTCGCCTTCCGGCTGCCCCGAGTCAGGGTGAGGTTGGGAGCCAAGGACTCCAGTGCCCAGCCCCCTTCCCAGCACCCGTCAGGGGCTTTGGGTCACACCTGACCCTGCCCCCAAACTGCCCCACTCATCATTCGTTGGGGCACCTACCCCCTTATTCTGCTGAGACTCTGAAACTCATGGAAACCCCAGACCTGGGGGGAGGGTCCTAGGTCTTGCCACGTCCCTCTCCCGACGCCAGTGTGCTCTGGGCCTCCGCTCAATTTCTCAAGACAGCCCCTTCCCTCCCCTGCAGAAAGAGTTCTTCCAGGATGACGTGTTCCCAGACACGGCCGTGAGCTGGGAGCCGGCGCTCAGTGCCGAGGCCTGGCTGAAGGGTGCTAATGGGCGGCCCCGGCTTCTCAGCCTGCAGCCGCCGGACATGACCCCAGGTGGATGGAGGCGCCGGGTTAGGGGAGGCAGCAGGGGCATGGCGGGTGGAAAAAGGGGCGGCAAGCCCAAGTCTAGTCTCCATTCCTGCTGGTACGCGGAGACCCCTGGCACTCCCAGGGATGCGGTGGCTGTGTCCACACTGTCTCTGAGTCCCTGGAGGGCAAGTCCTCACCCCTCACACACACACACACACACACACACACACACACGTGCACACATGCCCTGGTACCCAGGACAGGCTTGTGAACACAGGCCTCAGTGGCTGTTAATGCCATCTCTTGGGTCTGTACCGCAGAATTCTCTAGGGCATGGCACCAAGGAGTCCCAACCCAGGGACTCTCTGATGCCTGTCCTTACCCTGCCCCAGTGAGCCAAGCCCCGCGTGAGGCCCCTGCCCGGCGGGTCCCATCCTCAGCACAGTACCTGGAAGAGAAGTCAGACCAGCAGAAGAAGGAAGAGGTAGGCACGGGAGGGAGCTGGCTTTGCCATCGTCCCTCAGTTCTCCGGCCCCGACCTGGATGGGGAGAACAGCCGCACATCACACCCTCCACACCAGAGCTCGGTGGGGCAGGGAAAGCCAGGGAGGGCAGTGAGAGCCCACCCTGCCCAGGCCAAACCCAGCCAAAGCTGGAGGTTTTGGACCCAAGTGATTTTGGACCCTGGAGTACATTTGAGTGTTTGAGGCAATGTGTGGAAACAGCAGTACCCGTATCTGGTACCACATGTCACAGTCTGTCTCTGACTCTCCTGTCACCGTTTTTGTGTCTTTTTCAATGAGAACCCATCAGCTTCGTCAGGGCTCTAATTAAAATGGCTCTTTTCACAACATTGCTGGGGTTGAAACCCGGGGCGGGGGGTGCTGATGTTCTTGGAGCCAGAGAGCCCTATTCCCTTTCCGACACTTCTCTTGCCCCCTTTGCAGCTGCTGAACGCCATGGTGGCAAAGTTAGGGAACCGGGAGGACCCGCTCCCCCAGGACTCCTTCGAAGGTGTGGACGAGGACGAGTGGGTGAGTGGCGAGTGGCCCGGCTTCCCCAAAGGCAGCCACCCTTCCCGCACACGCTGAGGCTCCTGCCACCTCCCTCCCCGGCCCCCTTGACTCCCTGCCACTCTGTTTTATCATCCCAGGACTAGCCTGCCTGCCAGCCGCCTCTGGCCTTGCCTGCCACTGCCACCTCCCAGGTGCTCCTACACACCTCACATCTCATCCTCAAATTGGAAGATGCCTCTCTGGGCCTGGCACCCCTGATCCCAGGAGCCCTGGCTTCCCGTGGGCCCAGGGCACCTTCACAGCCGCTGGGCCCACTGTCGCTCACCACTGCTTTCTCTGGGTCTGGCTGCTGCTTCTCAGCTACCTGCTAGCATGTGCAGCCAGGAGTGTGGGGGCGTGGGGTGGTCGATAGCATGTCCCCGGGCAGGCCCTGGGCTCCCTGTCTCCCCGGCCCTCTTCTCTGTCCTGGGCTGGTCCCAGCCTGGGCTGGCTTCGTCCAGCACCTTCAGTTATTGCACATCGCCCCACCTTGCCTGCTGCCTCAGTTGTGGTCAAGAGCCTTGGGGGCTGGTCCCCCACCAGGCTATTGGGAGCAGCACCAGCCTCAGGGGCCGGGGACCAATTGCATTGTTCCCCAGGCTTGCAGCCAGGAGAAGGGGACATCACAGAGCTGGTGGTCCAATAAGGGGGGTGTTGAGCCCCACAGGGACTGGCCCACACATGTCCTGGATGTTCTCAGCAATTAAACTTTTCTAAGCTGGCCACTCTTGTGCTGTGTGATCACTGGGCTGGCTGAGAAAGGGAAGGGGACAGGGACAGGCATGTGGGTGCCCCTGGAGTCCTCTCATCCCAGCCTCGCTCTGCTCCCAAGGCCTGCTCAGCTGCGTGCTGCTGGGTTCCAGGTGGCAGCTGCTGCAGTGGACCGGGAAGGGCTTCAGCTTGTTGCAGCCTGTTATGCCAGACTGTATGCAAGTGAGCAAGTAGGGAGTGTGGAGAGAGCTGTAAAGAAAGCAAATTGTGTGAAAGGCAGTGACTGGGATGAGGGGAAGCGGGGTGTTCAGGGGTCTGAGAAGGTGACATTCAAACTGAGAAGGAAAACCTGAAGGCCTGGGGAGAGCTGTGAGAAGAACGTTTCAGACCGGAGGGAGGATAGCATGGCATGGAGGGGAGGAATTCGGAGAGTTGGGGGAAAGGGAAGAAGGGCAGTGGTCCAGCACTTAGCCTGAGGCATCTGCTGCCTGCCTGCCATGTGTCCAACCCCCTTCCAGGTGCTTGACATCCAAGACTGGAGAAAAGAGAAAAAGTCCTGCCCACTGGGAATCCACATTCTAGTGGGAGGGAACAGATTATAAACAATAAACGTAAAAATAAAGGAATTATGTAATATGGTAGCGGGTGATAAGAGCTTTGGAAAAAAAACAGATTGAGATTGAGAATAGAGAGAGAAGCCAGTCAAGGTCGCACATTGTAAGATTCCCCTTCTGTGAAATGTCCAGAACAGGTAATTCCTTAGGGACAGAAAGCAACAAAGCAAGACCCCGTCTCTACAAAAATTAAAAAAAAATTTTTTTTAAAGTTGGGCATGGAGGTGTGGTGTGCACCTATAGTCCCCCGCTACTCAGGAGGCTGAGGTAGGAAGGTCACTTGAGCCTAGGAGTTCAAGGTTGTGCCACTGCACTCCAGCCTGAGCGACAGAGTGAGACCCCGTCTCCAAAAAAAAAAAAACGAATGGAAGGCAAGTCACAGCGTTGGTAAGGGGCCCAGGAGTGCCTCATTGAGAAGGTGACATTTGAGCAGAGGTTTGAAGGAGGGCATGAGCTTCCCAGGCAGAAGGAATCTGCAATGAAACCTATCTTGAAGTTTCCTGTTTTCTTAAATAGTCCTGAGAATTTGGCATCGTACTCCGTATTATGTTCATTTCTTATGTTTTAGTCCCAAATATTTTGGCAAACTCAAGGGCAGAAATCGCCCCTCGTTCCTGGCCCCAGGATAAGCTCGCGGGCCACAGGGTCCCAGCGCCGTCCCCCGCCCTCCCCCGCGCCGTCCCCGGGTGGTAGCGGCCCGCTTCGCTCAGTGTCAAACCCCGCCCCGACTCCGCCCCACAGAGGAAACGACACCGCCGTCGCCCCGCCCCCGGAACCGAGACGACGCGCATGCCCAGCGCGGCCTCGCGCACGCGCTCTCTGCAGCCTCCCTTGACCTCTGACCTGCTGGCCGCCCTTGATTCCCGGCCGTGGGGCCAGGAAGCGGAGCCCGCGCCCCCGAGGCAGAGCCGCCATGGTGAGGCCCGAGTCGGGCGCTGCCAGGGGAGGGGAGACAGAGTCAGAGTCGGGGCCTGGGCGGGGGCGGGGCGGCGAGTTCCGGGCCGGGCTGCGGGCGCCGTGCGTGCCCTGTGGGAAGCAGGGTCGCACCTGCGGGACTGAGGCCGGCCGCGGCGGCGGCCTCCGGATCAGGGAAAGCCGCCTGTCTGCGAGGCAGGGTGGACTTGGCTGGCCGGAAGCAGCCCAGCAAATGTGGTCGCCCTGTACCCAACCCGCGTGTGAGCGAGCACCTGCGGGCAGCGGAGGCGGAGGCTAGGTCCGCCCGGGATTATCTACCCTGCCCCGGATCCTGTGGCTCTGCAGAGTCGATGTTGTCGCCCTGTTATCCCCATTTGAAAGTGGACTTTTCCAAGGCAGCGGCAGATCTGGGACTTATAGGCCTCGAGCATCGAACACTGAGCGTTTCTGCGGTACCATCGGTACCTAGAGCCAGTCCACAGACCTGTGCCGCACTGACTGCGCCAGGTTGCCTGGGGAACCTTTAAAACTGCAGATTTTTTTTTTTTTTTTTTTTGAGAGGAAGTCTCATTCTGTTGCCCAGGCGAGTGCCGTGGCGTCAGGCTAGCTCACAGCAACCTCAAACTCCTGGGCTCAAGCGATCCTCCTGCCTCAGCCTCCCGAGTAGCTGGGACTACCTGTGTGCACCACCACGCCCGGCTAATTTTTCTATATTTACTAGAGACGGGGTCTCGCTCTTGCTTAGGCTGGTCTCAAACGCCTGAGCTCAAGCTATCCTCCCGCCTCAGCCTCAGCCTCCCAGAGTGCTAGGATTAAAGGCATGAGCCACCGGGCCTGGCTAAAAATGCAGATTCTTGAGCTCTATCCCTGCAGGCTCGCTCTGTACAAGTTCCCCAGGTGATTCTGAGGCAGCCGGTTTGGGGAGCCACTTCTTAACTAGCAGTAAGGATAGTGTAACAGCTTACAGGTGCCAGGCCATGAGCTGAGGCTTTGTGTAGATTCTCCCGTTGAATTCTTCTGAAGTCATGTTGTCATTGTCCCCATTTTACAGATAAGGAACCTGAAGCTCAGAGAATTTGATTCTTCCAGGGTCATGTATCCCACAGCGTCAGAGACATTGTTTGGGCCCAGCTTTTTCCGTGTCCCAAGAATACACATTTACCAACACATTGTTCCCGCCTTGTGATGGCCACTGCCATTTATTGAGGACCTACGATGAGCCCTCACTGAACTGGGTCCTTAGCATGTGTTACCTCATTTAACTCTGAGCCACCCTCAAAGCTGAATAAAATATAGCTCTGGAGGAGTTTGTATCCTAGAGGAGACAGCAGGCGAGTCCATAAAATAAGACAGTGTGACATATATTTTTTTTTCATTTTTTTTTAATAATAATAGAGACAGGGTCTCGCTCTTGTTCAGGCTGGTCTCAAACTCCTGAGCTTAAGCAATCCTCCTGCCTCGGCCTCCCAGAGTGCTAGGATTACAGGCGTGAGCCACCGCGCCCAGTCTAGTGTGACATGTATTAATAGGGAAAGAAAGTGCTATAGGAAGGTATACATGGGAGGAGCCTGGGAATGTTTCACAGGGGGGGAATGGGAGTGGCGTGACAGGCTAAGTCCTGAAGGATGTTGGGTTTTGACAGAGTATCATGGTAGGAGGGAGCATATTCAAGGTGGAGAAACTTGGAGCAGCAGCAAAGACATTGAAGAGTGAAGTATGAAGGCCGATCTAGGAGTAGAGGGTGTGGCTGCAGCCTGGAGAGGTGTAAGGGGGAGAAAAAAACCCAAGAAATAAGTTGAGACCAGACAGAGCTGTGAATGCCAAGCTGAGGAGTGGACTGAATTTGCAAGCGGTGGTGGTGAACTGCGTGTTTTGTTCTTTAGCAGAGAAGTTAGGAGACATTTGGAAACCTGTCTGGGGACATAGAGTTTATGAGACTCTGGCTTGGCCAAAGCAAAGCTGATGGTGGTCAAGTCTCATTCATTCAAATGTGTATTGGACACTTGCTGCACCAGCCACTGGCCAGACCCCCTGGGCATACCGGGGCAAATGCTACAGTTGTGGTCCTGACCTTCCTCCTGGTCAGTAGTGCTGCCAGCAGCTGCCTGGAGGGTCCTTGGGTGACTAGCGCCCCCTTCCTGTGTCAGTGCATCCATGAGAAGGGGGTGAGTCTCATGGCGGTGTGCTCGCCAACACGAGAGCTGGGAGCTGTGCCTGGAAGGAACATTGCACACGGATCCTCTCTTGGTGCATGTGACACAAGTGAAGATAAGCCCCATTCCTGAATGCCCCCCAAGTGTTGTCTGTTGTCCCTTGCCCCAGATGCAGGGCTTTGGTCCTGCCTTGGGCCACATTGCTCCCCGATGAGAAAGTGTATGTGCTGACCACCGTGGGTCCCAGTTCGGAGTCTTACAGCTCTGACCTGTGACCTCTGCTCTCTGACAACTTCAGGCTTGAAGTTGGATACCACATCAGCTGGTTGCTTCAGGCCCGAGTGTCAGTGGACAGTGGGATGTTTTGGGGCCTTCTGGGAGGAGCCTCAGCTAGTGGCTGTTTTGATCACCTGTGGTAGCTGCAGGTGGCAGAGCTGTGCTCCCCATGTATCCTCAGCTCTGAGCTCAGCCTGACCCATAGCTGGTGCTCAGGGAACGTTTGGCTGCTGAGTAGGTGGATGAGAGGCTTGGCTGCACCACTGAGCAGTAGACCATTCAGCTCCAAGCAGGGTCTAGTCGGGAAGCAAAGGCAGCTGTTGAGTTCCTGCTCTGGGGCTCATAGTCCTCTGAGGAAGGTATTCTCTCCATTCTGCAGTTAAGAAAAGAGGTTCAGAGAGGTTGAATAATTTGTTCAGGTCCACACAGCTGTCCAGAAACAAAGCTAGAATTCTGGTCCGGGTCAGCGTTGTTCTAATTCTTCTTTGCTGCCTCCCAGCTCCCGGGGGAACGTAGTGTGACGTTTTGCAGCCTTCACCCTTGAGGAATCACAGGGCCTGTATCAGATGAGCTGCTGTATTGGAAGAAGCTTTGTTACTCCATAGCTCCTGGTCATTGTCAAGTTTTGTGAAACCAAGAATATAATAAATGAAAGGCCACGTTTGTTGAGCACCTACTGTGTCATTAGGCACTGTGTCAGGCATTTTACAGGCGTTATTTAATCCCTACGATGGCTGTATTGGTGGCCACATTTTATGGGTGAGGAAACTGAGACTCAAGGAGGTTGAGAACTTGTCAAGGGTTACACAGCTGGGATTTGCCCACAGGTCGTCCCAGAGCCTGCTGGTGTGCCCATTGCACCACACCGCCTCTTCTGGGAGGTGCCTCCCACAGGAACCTTGGTGGCCTCAACCAGCCAGCCAACCGGGCAGCTCCCTAGGCGGCTGGGATAGCTACTGAAACTGCAGGTCAGCCCACCTTCCCTGCAGCTCTGGGCAGCCGGAGGCACAGGCCCCACGCTGCTTTGGTTGGAAGTGTGTAAGGGATGGTTGGGGGAGCTCCCTGTCCCAACTTCAGTTCTTAATGTTTGTCATTTAGCAACAGTCATCGGCCTCAGCAGAAAAGTAAACAAGTGATTGCAAGGCAAGTGATGGCAGCAGATGGTGGGGGGGCAGTGTTCCAGTCTGGGGGAGCCCTCTGGAGTCATCTACTGGCCTGTCAGCGTCTGTCGTTCAGCTGGGACCAGCGTTCCATCTCAGAGCCTCCCTTTCCACGTGGGAGTGGCTTTAGGCAAGGAGGGGAGAAGCCAGGTGAGAGACTCGTGGGCGGGTGCACCCATTCATTGTTCCTCCTCACACCTGCAGCACAGCTGGCTGCGGCCGCCCTGGCTTTGATCACAGGAGGGTCTTCTCTGGGTTCTGCTTTCCAGAGCTTATGAAAATTCCACCTACTTGTGAAATCCAAACCCACTTCTGTTCATTCCCCTAACGGCCCATAATCACATCCCGCCTGTGAGGAAAGAGCAGGTCCTTGGAGGCTGAGCACGGCCAGTTCTGGAGTCTGGAATCCACTGGAATCTGACAGGCCCCGTTTGGCCTGTGGGTTGGGTTCTTGATGCTTGTCGCCTGCTCAGTCGTCTTCCCTCCACCCCCCGGGGTCCACCCACCCCCCCGGGTCCCGCATAGTGTGGCCTTAGGTTTCCCCCCTGCCTCCCGCACACACTCACCGTGTGTCCTGGGGCCAATCACTAACCTCTTGAGTTGTCAGGATTAAGTGGCACGGTAAATAGAACGTGTTTGGCACGGTGCCTGGCACACAGACTCAGTTGATACTTGTTGACTGAGAGGAATTCTAACTACAGAAAACTACAAAGAGGGCAGTCAGTCGGCTGTGCCACGTGAGCACTGTCAACCTGCGGCGAGCGTTCTTCCAACGTCCTCCCGCACCTGCGTTTCTACCATTTCGCGTGCCTGCCACCCTTTGCTATGCGCTGTCTATATGTGATGTCTTTGCTTCACAGTAAGATCTGTGCATTTTTCAGTGCTGTCCGCCTTCCTGTCTCCTCCGGCCAGCCTAGGCTACTGGCTGCTCCTGGGACACCCCTTATACTTTCTCTCCTCCCAGTTCTGGCTCAGCCCAGAAATCCCCAATATTTCTGTCATATTCTACCCGCTCTTCAAAACTCAGCCCAGGAGAGGTACCCTCTTCTCCCAGAGTCTCCAGCTCATGCCCGAGTTTCCCTCTGTGGATTCTCCACGCTCTGGCGTGTCTTGCTGAGACTCCCTGCGTGCCTCAGAGGCGCGTGGCGTCCGCCACAGTCGCAGGGTTTGCACAACCTCGCTATGCCGCAGCTGGTTTCCCTGCCAGGCCGTGTGGGTGTGGCCAGCTTTGATGACAGAGACCAGGTTCTGCTGTCTGTGTACTCCGTGCTGGCAGAGTAGACTCAGGAGGTGGATGAGCGAGTGAAGCACTGGCTGAAGAAATGAACTAGGCCTACTCTGCGTCATCACTTGGTCCGTAGTGTGTTTGTCTGAATACCCTCCTAGTGGGCATTTAGCTCCTTGAAGGTGGAGACTGCCGCGTTAGCGTCTTTGGTGAATTTGTTGTGTTGAATGGGACAAACTCAAAAAAAAAAAAAAATCACAGGACTCGAATAGAGCTGGGAGAATTAGGATGGATCTGAGTTTCCCCACTTGTAACATAAATGTTGGACCAGATGATCTTGGAAGCACAGGAGGCATCATCATTGGCCCTGGGATCGAGAAAGAGTTAGTGGCAGCTCTGGGTCTGTCTCTGTGTCCCAACTTCCAGGCCACAGTGCTTCTCTCTAAAGCTGGTGGCCTCTGTCCCCTGTGTCAACTGGTGCAGCTTTTATCAGGGTGCTTTGGGGGAGGCCTGTGGCTGCAGCTCTGTGCGTCATCACCTCAGATCTCCAGCGACCTTGCCACTCTGCATTCGTTTCCAGGGTCCCCTCTCTGAGGGCCCTAAGAATGCGGCTTGCTAACCAGGTGCCTGCTTTGCCCACAGGCCAAGTACCTGGCCCAGATCATTGTGATGGGGGTGCAGGTGGTGGGCAGGGCCTTCGCCCGGGCCTTGCGGCAGGAGTTTGCAGGTAAGCCAGGACCCCTGTCTCCCCCTGCCCGGGCTGGGAGCTCCTGCCCAGGCTGGATTTTTGCCCTGGCTGTGGGCGCTTGGGCTTGCTGGCTGTCAATGCAGGGATCCCCCTCAGGCTGGAGTTCTGCCGCTTGGGTAGCCTGGTGCACTTTCCTGTGGCCGGGGTGGTGCCAGGCTTTGGGACATTCCTACATGAGGGAGACGTTTGTCTTCAGTGCTGCTTGGTTAGTGTGAGCAGCCCAGCAGGAGTCAGCAAACTGGCCCACCTGGCTACCTGTTTTTGTAAATAAAGTTTTATTGGAACACAGCCCTCCGCAACCCCTTTTAGGCAGAATTGAGTAATTCCAACACAGACTAACGGGCCTGCAAAGCCTGAGCTATTTACTGTCTGACCCTTTAAGAAAACATTTACTGGCCCCTGACTTTAGGAGTCACCAAAAGGGAAGGGGTGGCCCACTCAGCCGGCTCTGGTAGTCCCAGCAGAGCCAGTGCCACCTCTCCACACCCACAGCTTCACTCCAGTCCCCACCATGGCCTAAAGCTCCCCCAGAATGAGAGGAGAAGAGGGACAGGGTCATCTTGTCATCTCGGTGGGGATCAGGAGTGAGGTTTGATGGTCAGACCCTGCCCTTACCTTCCTGTGGGCCATGTCTGTCCTCACTTTCCCAACCCCCCCATTCCCTAAAAAAGAAACCACTTCTGGGGAAGAAAAAGCTCCTGGCGGCCTCTGTCCCTCTTCTCCTGTGCCACCTGGCAGGAGTGAGCCACCCACTTGGTTGGCCCAAGGGGAGCTATGGTCTGCTAAGGGCTGAGCGATCACCCCGTGTCCACACAGCCAGCCGGGCAGCAGCTGATGCCCGGGGACGCGCTGGACACAAGTCTGCAGCCGCATCCAACCTCTCCGGCCTCAGCCTCCAGGAGGCACAGCAGATTCTCAACGTCTCCAAGCTGAGCCCTGAGGAGGTCCAGAAGGTGAGGCCACCAAGCCATCCCCAGACATGCCTTACCTGGACTGGCCATAAGTTGGGGGATTGGGGAGCATGGCGGGGGTCAGGTGCAGATGCTCTGGCCACACCAGCTCAGACTCTGACTTGGGGGAGCCGCTGTTGCTTGTTTTGGGGCCGAAGCAGGGCAGTCATAGAGACAGTTTGCCACCAGCAGCTGAGCCCACCGTCACCAGCACTGTTCACAGCTCTGTCCCTCAGTGGTCACGCGGCTTCCTGTGCTACACACACGGTTCTTGGGGTGGAGGGGTAGAGCCCTGCGGCCTCCCCGTCTCCAGCCCAGTCTGCAAGCCCTCTCACCTGTCCTCTCTCCGCAGAACTACGAACACTTATTTAAGGTGAATGATAAATCCGTGGGTGGCTCCTTCTACCTGCAGTCAAAGGTGAGTGGTCTTTGATTCTGGGAGGGGGATAAGCCATGGGAGTCGAGCTCCCAGCCGCCTCTCACTTGAGGTCCCTCATTTCCAGGCAGGGGGGCTGGCATTAGGCAGTGGCAGGCAGGAAAGTGTACAGGGAGGGCCCCATGAACTGCCACTCCTTCTGGCTGCCTTAGCTCCATGGGGCCCAGCCAGTCAGGCTGTGCCACCCTGGACAGCAGCCCTCCCAGCAGCTGAGACTTTGAAGGAGCAGGAGCACCAGCTGGTGATATGCGAGAACTAGCCCTCTGGCACGTGCGTGGTGCGTCGGCTCGGGCACCCAGGCCACCCCTTCCACCCTGGGGCTCTGCTGAAGGAGGCATCACCTCCACCCAGGGCTCTCCAGGCAGGAAGTCAGCCTGGGCTGGGAAGAGGCCCGTCCCGGGCTGGCAAGGGCACGGTGCAGAGGCTCCCTCGGCCTGATTATCTGTGACCCCCCACCTCAGGTGGTCCGAGCGAAGGAGCGCCTGGATGAGGAACTCAGAATCCAGGCCCAGGAGGACAGAGAGAAAGGACAGACGCCCAAGACGTGACTGCTCGGCTCCCCCCACCCTGCCCCGCCGCCTCTAATTTATAGCTCAGTAATAAATGTCTTTTCCGCATTTCTGTGTGCACGTAGGTTCCAGAGGGCAAGCTGCTCTTCCTGCCAGTTGTAGGGCTGTGCGTGCTGGGGCCAGGAGAGGCAGCAGCTTCTGACAGCCCAGAGGGGCTGGGGTGGCGAGGTTGGCGGCCAGCCGGGTCCCGGCCAAGTTCTATCACGTACCGGACGCAGCGGCTCGTGCTTCTGCAGTGCCCGCGCCAGCACCAGGCTCCCTTCCGGGGCATCCTGCCAGACCCCGGCCCTCCCACAGGGCGGAGGCCCCCTGCCCCAGAGCTCTGTCCCAGGCCACCTCTCCCTGGGGCCGGTTTGAATGCAGCATCTCAGGAATCGGGGTGGAATGCCCCGGTGTGTGGCTGAGGAAGACAGGCTTTCGGCTCGTGGACTGAGGTGCCGCTCACTAGTCGCAGGGGGCAGTAGCTGGACAAGGATCTGAACCTTGTGATGCTTAGTCTGGAATCTTCTGTCTCGGCTCCCAGCACCTGTGCCCCCTGAGCACCCACCTCCTTCCCTCCCAGCATCTGTTCTCAGCAGGATGAGGGGCACCTGCGTGGTCAGGGCCCGGTGGACCAGCTCCTGGCACGTCCACAACACAGAAACCATCTTTGCAACTCACTTTTATTGTTTCTTTATAAACTTCCTCTCACATGGAGGAATATATTGTTATAGTCATTAGCTTATCTCTTTTTTTTTTTTTAAACTCTATGCTAACAGCAATGGAGCCAAGAGGAGGGAAACAAGCTACAATAGAAAGGCACTTAGAACCTGTTAAAATACTGATATCCTGGAATGTGCAACAACAAACCAACAACAACAAAAAGTACACCGGCCTTCTGAGCCTGGTCTATCACCGAATCACATGCTGAGCTAATGTCACCTTCCAGTGCCCTGTTCCTCTGCTCTGCTTGATCTCAAACCCACAGCCCCACCAGGGCCTTAAGGCCTGGGCCCCTAGCGGGGTGGGGGTGCTTGGGTCCTGGGTGGGGCCCAAAGAAAGGAGACCGGCTCCCTCCTACTTGCTCACAGCCCCTTCGAGGGGCAGAGCCAGCACAGCCAGGCCCTGTCAGGGCTGGGGTCCTAAGGCCAGCAGCAGGGCGGCCAGGTCAGGGTGACCCCTCTGGGACAGAAGGGCAGTCCAGGAAAGGATGGGGTGAGCAGAGCTGCTCAGAGGAACGCAGGGTTCCAGAGGACCCCACTGCTGCTGGTAGCTCCTTTGTTCTGCAGATGGGGAAGTGGAAGGGCTTGGCCACTCTGCAGCCTGGTAACAGGACAGACCCAGAAGCCAGAGCTCCCACCTGGCAGGTGGGCAGGGGGCGGTGAGAGGCCCAGGGTGGGGAGGCACCACCGTGGGATCTGGCAGTGGGCTATTGGGCATGGGGGCCTCCTGCCATAGGCCCTGAGCAGCACAGATGCTGGGGGAGCTGGTTGAGGGGGTTAAGGGGTAGGGGACACACCTCCAGGAAAGAGGCCCAGCTGGGAGAGCCAGAGGAGACACCGTACCTCAGGCCCCCCTTCCCAGGCAGAGGGGCCACCCCTAAGCGTAGCTCCCTTCCCTGAGTCCCCCCGACATGTGCTGACACTCGGCACCCCCAGACTGGGAGCTGACCCCAGGCAGTATCTCCTTCCCGGACCAGGACTGATGCTCTGCAGGGCGGCACTGCTCAGGCCGAGCCCAGCTGGGCAGGGATACAAAGATGGAGCTCGGCCTGGCCCCACCTGCTCCCTGAGCTGGCGCTGGGCCAGATGCCCAGGTCACCTGGGAGTCCTGGCCCCACAGCTGCCCATCTAGCACCTCCCCTCCAGCTCGGGGTTCCCTCAGGCCTGTTCCCACGCATCCAGGGTGCTCTGGGTGGAAGGAGGCCCAGGGTGCAGGGCCAGGTGAGTGGTCAGCTGTACCCTCCCTTCGGCAGTGCTATCTGCCTGGGCCTGGGTGACTGAGGAGGGACAGCTGGCACAGCAGGCCCCCCTTCTCCTAGGAGCTGGGAGGCACCTTGTCAGGGGCAGGGGGGGCTTTGCCTGTGTCTGTCTTGCTCTCCCTCTGGAGGGTGGGCCAGAGGGAAAGGGGTCCAAGGAGCCCCCAGGACAGAGGCTGAGTGAGGGGGCTGGGGCCTCTGCTCCTGTAGCTGATCACACGGTGGGGGGGGAGCCTGGTGCCCACAGGGAGGGCAGATGCCACCCACCCGTCCCCACTGCTGGGGCATGGGCAGCAGGCTCTGCCATCCCCATAGGTGGCAGGTAGGGAGGTGGGCGAGCTGCCTAGGTTGGCCGCTGGATGAGGGAGGCACCAGGGGGGGAGAGCGAGGGGGACCTAGGGCAGGGGAGGATCTTAAAGAAGCTGTGGGACAGCAGGGCCCGAGGGGAGTGAGGCCTCAGCACCCAGAGCACGGCTCTCCCCGGACAGCAGGTCCGGGTCGTCACTCGGTAGCCGGAAGCCAGCAATGACCTAGCACCATCCTTGCTGCCCGGCAGGCTGGGCACAGCCAGCCAGGCCCCGGGGCAGTAGGACATTATTGCTATTTCGCAGAGAGTTTCCGTTCGTCTGGGCAGGGCCAGGGTACCGGCCGGGCTGCCTCCGGTGTCCCCTGGGGGTGTCAGTTCACCACGGCCGGTTTGAGCAGCACGGAGCCCGGTGGGATGACCACCCAGCCAGGGGCCAGTGCCTCTGGGCTGCTGGCTGCCGAGCTCATGCCCGTGGACAGGTCCAGCACAGTACCTGGCAGCAGGGGGAGTCCGTCAGGGCTAGGCCGGGAGCAGCTGCTCTCCGTCCTTTCGAGGGGCGTCTTGCGGCCCTCCATGCTGAGGGCCCTGGCGGGCACCGGCCCACGCCCCTTCTCCCCCTCGGCCTTGCCGCCAGCGGAACCAGCGAGGAGGGAGACCACAGGCAGGCCCAGTCCGCCAGCCCCGAAGGGTGAGGGTAGCAGTGGGTTCTTGGCCAGATTGAGAGGCAGGACAGGGCCCATACCCCCCCCACCTCCACCGCCCCCGCCATTGCCACAGGCCAGGGCGCTGAGGTCCAGGGGACCAGGGGCCAGGGGCAGGGGTAGGCCCGGCAGGCCGGGGCCTCCAAAGAGGGCGGCAGGGTTGGGGATAATGATCTGGGCTCCACTGACATAGGGGCTGCTGTCAGGGGTGGGCAGTGGCGGTTTGGGGGGTGGGCGCAGCTGCAGGAGCTCTTGCTGCTCGTGGGACACGAAGTGACCGTGGGCCTTGATGTGCTTGCGCAGTGAGCTGGGGTCCGTGTAGCGCTTGTGGCAGCCGGGCATCTTGCAGTAGTAGGGCTTGTCCACGTAGTGGGTGCGAGTGTGCTTGAAGCGGTCACTGGAGTTGGAGTAGCGCTTGTTGCAGCCCTCGTAGGGGCAGACATAGGGCTTCTCACCTGCAGGGTCGTGCGGTGCCGCCGTGAGGGGCCTCTCCCCATCCCAGGTCTCCCCTTGCATTCAGCATCCCCCAGACCAAGAGCCCCAGCCCCATGAGAGCACAGACTCTCCCATTCTTGGAGGGGGGTCTCCCCAGTACCTGGCAGGAGATCTGACCCCAGGCAGGGGCACCAGGACATGGCAGCTGAGAACCCACCCTTGTCAGCCCTGCTCTGCTACAGTGTTCTCCACGGCGGAACACAAGCTTGGAGACCGTCGTCATACCGGGCGCCCAGCATGGACCACGGACGAGGCATCTGCCTGAGTGCCAGCCACCCTTGCATTTGGCCCCTGCGCAGCAAAAAGGCTCGAGATTCACCGAGCGTCTGCCACTGCGCTGGTCAGGGCAGGAGCCACATTTGGCCACTGAGCCTTTGACACGTGGCTCTCCAGAGGGAGATGTGCTGTGAGGCTGATACACGCACCAGGTTGCGAAGACTTTGTATGACATGAAGAATTTCAGTGTCTCATTGATTTGTTTTTAATATTGAAATAACATTCTGGATATATTGGGTTCACGGAACTATATGATTACAATGAATTTCACCTATTTCTTTTTGCTTTTCATGCGGTGACTAGGAAATTTAAAAGTAGGTCTGTGGCTCCACCGCCAGGGCTGCTCTGCTGTGGGCTCGGGGTGCGGTGAGAAGTGAAGCAGATGCAGCCTCTGCCCTCACAGAGGTGGCATTAGATGATCGTACAGACAGTGGCCATGCTCCAAGAGCGCAGGCTGGGGTCTGACCCACAGGAAAGGCTTCCCCTAGCAAGCAGCACTTGCAAAGGGACCACCAGCCACTGAGGTGTGCCCTCATCTCTGAGGCCCGGCCCTTCCTTAGAGTCCCCCGCCCCCGGGGCCTGCCCAGCCGAGCTGCCCGGCGCCAGCCTCACCTGTGTGTGAGCGGTTGTGAATCTTCAGGTTCTCCAGGCGGGAGAAGCTCTTGTTGCAGGTGGGACAGCGGTGAGGCTTCTCGTTGGTGTGCGTGCGGATGTGGATGAGCATCTTGTACCTGCTCCGGGGGAGAGGGAGGAGGCTCAGCTCGCTGGAGGCCCGAGCCCCAAGCTTCTCCCTCCTCCCCTTCTCCCCCACCTCACCTGGCGTTGAAGCCACGGCCGTGACGGGCACAGCCCTCCCAGTGGCAGCAGTAGCCCGCGTCCTTCTCGGGCTTGACATGGTAGTCATTGACGTGGTCCACCAGGTCTTGCAGGAGCTCGAAGAGCTGGTTACACTGCGGGGCCAGGAAGGGTTCTGAGCCCATGTGGGGTGGCCGGCCTGCCCCAGACCCCACACCACCCTCCTGGCCCCCACTCACTTTGGCCCAGCGACACACCAGCTGCTTGGGCAGGGGCAGCTCTGGCGAGAGGCACTTGTCCTTGGGGGAGGTGAGGAAGGAGGAAGCAGGCAGGTGCAGGGCCCCCCCGGAGCCCAGGGGCAGGAAGAACTGGAAGGAGCTGGGGACGCCATCCAAGTAGCGCAGTGGCTGGAAGTCCTATGGGCAAGGGGACAGCTGGTTGGGGCCCTGCTGAGTCAGCAGGCCTGGCCCCCTCTGTCCGCTTCCGTAGTGGGCTGAACGGTGTCCCCCAAAGACACATTCGAGTCCCGCACCACCGCCTGCCCCGTACCCGCGCATGTGACCTGATTTGGAAATAGGGTCTTTGCAGATGTAATGAAGTGAAAATGAGGTCATCCTGGATTGGGGTGGGCCCTAAGCCGGCGACTGGTGTCTGTGTAAGAGAAAGAGGGAGATGCGGACAGGAGGGAGAAGGCCGTGTGAAGACACGCTCGGGCGACGCAGCTACCACACTAGGAATGCCAAGGACTGCCGGAAGCCACCGGAAGCTAGGACACAGGCAAGGAAGGACTCTTCAAGTCCCTAGAGCCTTTGAGGCAGCATGGCCCTGCCGCTACCTTGACTTCAGACCGTAGCCCCTGGAACCGCAAGCGAGTAACTCGTGTCTGTTGTTTTGAGCCACTCAGTTTGGAGATGCATTGTCACGGCGGCCCCAGGAAACCAACAGCCCTCTCTCTGGAACCCCCTCCTTACCGGAGCAGCAGGCACTGGGGGCAGGTCTCCATTGCCCTGGCGTTCAGGGGACAGTGAGCTGCTGCCGTTGGGCGAGTCCAGCCCAGACGGTGGGGACAAGCTGAGGTCCACCAGAGGGGCTGTTGAAAAGCGTCCTTCCACCTTCTCAGGGAACTTGGGGTTCAGCAGGAAGCCTAAGGGAGAGGCATGGCTCAGGGAGTGCTGGCGCCACTCTGGGGCCCAGGTGTCTGAGGAGCACCTTTATAGCTGACAGTAAGACGACATTGCCCGTCACATTTGACCTCTGCCACCACGGGAGCTCGGCCACTTGTAAGAGGGGAAGTGGGAAGTACCCACTTCGCAGGTGGGAACAGCCTGGCACGCAGAGTGAGTAACCGAATAGGACCCGAACCCGGGGCCTCTGGCTCCCAGGCATACTGGCAGGTAGGGACTTTTCTAACTTTCCCCAGGCCCTTTCCTGCCTCAGTGCTCCCTTCTTTAAAATGAGAGGTTTGAGCTGGGCTGTTTCCAGAGCCTTCCAGCACTGGCATGTAAATCCAGTGTTCAGGGACCTCTTGGAGGCAGAGCAGGAGGGGTGAGCACCAGGCATCCCTGAAAAGCACTTGCTGGGCTGGGTCCCCAACCTACAGCCCTGGTTTACCCGCTGCACTGCCTCAAAGCCCACGAGTCGAGCTCATAGGACCTTTGCTACTCCTGGGACCCCCTGCCCCCTGTACCAGCTAATTCACGTCCTCCCAGGGCCCTCAGCTTGAATTCCGGCGCTATGTGCCAGCTCACGAGCTCCTCCCTCCAAAGCTACCCTGGTGAGGGGATGAACAGTGGTGGGGGCAGCACCGTGAGCCAAGCTGGGAGGGCTGCGGCTGCAGGCCGGGACGGACACACCTCGGGCACTCTTCCCATGGCCACTGCTCGAGCACGGCTCAGTCCCTTTGCCCTGCTTGGGGGCAGTACCTGAGGGCGGGGAGCCTGGAGAGCCAGGCGTGGGGCTGTCGTCCACCAGGCCGAGCTCCCTGTGCAGAGCACGGGGTCGGACCACACCCAGCGTCCTCTCCCTCTTCTCTCTCGCCGCCCGGAGCTTGGTGATGCTCAGCTTCAAGTCGAGCGGTTCGTCCAAGGAGTGCATTGTGATGGGGCTGGAGGTGGCAGCAGGCAGTGGGGGGCTGGTCTTCAGGCAGGAACCTGGGGAAGAACAGGAGCTGCGCTGTGACACTATGACCCCAGGCTCCTCCTTGGGCTGCACCCATTAAAGCCCACAGGAGCAGGGAGAGATGGTGTGAGGCTGTCTTCCTGGGTACGGGGACCTCCGAGTGGCTGGTCAGCAGGTATCACGGAGAGAGCCAGCCACTGACTCAGAGGTTCCACATCCACTGCCCTTGGGTCTTTAGGGGGAGGCGAAGCTCATGGTCTCCACTTTGCCATGAAACTGAGTTTTAGAGGCACGGCCTCAGGTCGCAGAGCTAGGAAGTGACAGAGCCATCAGATTCAAGGCTGAAGGCCAGATCTCCCTGGAACTGGCAGCGAGTCCTAACAGTCATTTCTGACGGAGTGGGAAGCCACGCCCAGTTTGAGCCCGAAGACCCAAAACCAGGCCAGGGGAGGAAGGTGGCCGTTGGCATTCCGCACTGTGCCGGGCATTCACGTGCCTGGCAGGCAGCTCCGACCACCTCAAGGAAACCTGGCAAGCTGGAGGGACTGGGCGCAGGCAGGGGCCCCTCCACCCTCCCAGGTGAGGCCGGCAGGAGAGGCTTCAGGAGCCACAGGCAGGCTGAGGGCTCATAGCCACCACCAGGGGGCAGCTGGGGACTGTGGCCTGGCCAGGCCAGCTGGGGCAAGGCTGGTGGAGGGGTAGACCAGCTCTGTCTGGTGCTTAATAAAAACATATATATTAACTTTCACTGGTGATGATATTCCTTTATTGTAAGTTCTCACGCTGTAATTTTCATCATTTTCTTAGAATTTCTCACTGGCGTAATTTTCTTCATATACAAATGAACTCAGTATCCACTGACTCAAGAACAGGTCAGCTCTCCATTCTGACCCCAGACTCCTGTGCAGAACAGCAGTCCTTCCACGAGTGGCGGACACTCGGCGGTGTTCCCTTGCATTTGTTCATGGAGCTCGTCACACCTTTAAAGTCTGTCTGCTAAACAGGCCTCGCTGTGAGACCTCTGCCGTTCACTGTGTCTGCCGGGTCTTTACAGCTTAACACAAAAGGGTGGACATAGCGGACGTAGCCACCACCTGGTCAGATGCTTCGGATATTTCACCTGTGTGTGTCTCCTTGGGGGCTAGTGTGGCCCGTGAGGGCGCGGAGCTGCCGGAAACGCTATCCACGGGGCAGGCAGGGAGGACAGTGCCAACATCCCTACTCTCTGGGCCAAGCCCCCAGCAGCTTCATCTGGTCTCCACTCAGTCCCCAGCCCCAGCCCACCTGCTTGCCCCACAAGCTCCTGGATGCTCTAGGCATGCGGGGAACAACACAGTCCCCTCCCTCACTGGGGATCCTCTAGTTCTAGGGACACATCCCAAGATCCCACCTGCACGTGGCTAACATGGGAGTCCCTGAGCACAGGGAGGCTGCCCACCTGCCCAAGGCTGGGCCACCAGAGCTGGGGCAACTGCAGTTGGCCTTGGGACCCAGCTCTGTGATTCGTCCTGCTGGAGCTGTCAGATCTGTCTAAATATGCACCTCCCGCCCCCCGCCCCCCGCAAGAGCCCTGCCAGCAGGTAGGTGGGTGACTGACAGTGATGGATGGTCCTGGACCCCCCCACTGTTCCTCTGCCTGGGCAGGGAGCTGCCCTCTGCCTGACCGCCCCCCCCATTATGTCTGTCTATCTGTGTTTCTGCCTGTCCGTCTACCTGTTTATTTTTAGACACAGGCCCAGTCTAACCTCCCTGAAGCTCCTCTGTGCTGGGAGCCTGGAAGGGGAGGAAGGAAGTAAATATTTATGCTGATTAAGAATTCAGGAGCCAGGAAGGGCTGGTGGCCTGGTCCCTTGGCTGGCCCAGGGCCACAGGCCTTCCCACAGCCTCTGTCCCCGCCCCCACCCCCGCCCTTCCGGAGAAGGGGACCACAGGGCAGGGTGGTTGGGGACTGGGAATTCCAGCTGACACAGATTCTCACTGGCAAGGCTGCCCAAGCAACATCCTTTGGCACCTGCCCCGCTGTCCCCCCAGGCCAGAGGGGAATGGGCAGAGCCAGGAGCCCTGGGTCACCTTGTTTTTGGAGCCCACAAGGGACACTCCCTCCACCTAGAACTGTCTCCCAGGGTGGGGTTGGCCATGGCGCCCAAAGCAGGAGGAGGGACTCCAACATCCCCCCTTAATCAGCAGGCCCAGTCCCCAGGGACACCCCACACAGACTTCCTGCCCCAGGGTTCATTGCAGTGGAAGCCCGTGCCCAGCCCGAGGCCCGCCTCGCCCTCCCGCGATGGAGGAAAGCACTGCCCCACAAAGCCCACACCTCCCAGCACCCTGCAGCAGGCCATGCCCGCCCCAGGGGGAAGCGGCCTGTAACCCACTCCTGTTCTGACCTTGGCCACCCTGTCCCCAGCCGGCAGCAGCCAGTCTGAGCTCTGCTCTGCTCTTCGTTCCAGGCCGGGTGAAGGGGGCAGCCGAGAGCCAAGTTCCTACTCTCCTGAAACCCTGAGGCCCAGAAGGGGGACGAGCCAGCCTGGGCCCCGGGCCCCACCCTGCCAGCACTCCTGAGGCCAGCCCTGCCAGCCGCTGACTTAATACTGGGGCAAGGAAGGTGGACGGCGACCCTCCCAAGGGTGAGGCAGCGACTGCCTTGCAGAGGACAGAGGAGCTCAGCCAGGGGTGGCCCAAGGCCCTGTTTACTGCCTCTGGCAGTGGGGCGGTCCGGTGGAGGGGTGGGGGTCACCCAGCGCACCTCACTGGGTGAGGGCGAGGTCAGGGTGGGGGCACTGCCTGCTGGCCCGCCCTCATCACCACCCTCTGAGCCTCATGGCCAATCATCGCGTGCCTCAGTTTCCCCGATGGTTAGAAGGCCATGTGCCTGGTGCCCCTGCTCTTGCAGTGTGGAGGTGTCATCAGAGCTGAAGCGCTGCATGTCCCTGAGTGCAACACCCCCAGCCCAGGAGGGAGCCCAGGGCTCCTGCAGCTGCAAAAGGAACTAATTAGAGCAGACCGATGGGAGGAAGCGCGCACGGGGGCAGCCGCAGGACCACCAGGACCGTGGGGGCTGGGGTGACCGCGCATGGCCCTCCCCCCACACTGGCGGGGGTCACCCGCAGGGTGGGCTGGGCGGCCCCCCAGGCAGCCCAGCGAGACAATGGCTGCTATTGTGCCCAGGCCCAGCAGTTGCCCCCAGCTGGGTCCCCAGCTGCAGCCCCAAGGCAATGCCTGCCCCAGCCCCCAGGTAGGCCAAGGAGGAGCCCAACCTCCATGCCCACCCTCCCCACTGGAAGGCCCAGCATACTCGGGGAAACTGAGGCCCAGAAAAGGCACAGACTCCTCAAGGCCCGAGGTTGATGTCCAGTTAACACGACCGTGCATCAGGCCTGTCTGTCCACGAGTTCCCAGAGTCCTCTACAACCCCTCTCGTGAGTAGCTGCTGTCATTTTCCCTGTCACACAGATGGGGACACTGAGGCTCAAGGTCACCAGGTTAACAGGGAGCTGGCACGGATCCTGCTCTGCGTGAAGCTCCTCCTTCCCCACTTGGGGGCGGGCAGCTGGCCCTGAGCCCGGAGGATGCCTGGGCGGACCTGCAGGGTGGGTCAGGGGGCTGTGCACACCCACCCTGAGAACACGCAGAGTCTCCTTGGTGGAAGCAGAGAGAGGACAGGACCTTCTGGATGATGGGCTAGATCCTGGCCGCGCACGGCAGCGTGGGGTCAGGTGAGTGAACCCCAGTGGATCAGTGCTGTCGAGGGCAATGTGAAGGACACCCCTTATTCCTGGGGTAGTCTTGAAACTGCCCCTTTGGTAGCTGTGGCCCGGCCAGCCCAGCACTTGGGGGACGAGGGCCCATGATGCACCTACAGAAGTCCATGTGGTCTGTTTACTGAATGGAAAGGAGAAGCAGGTCCCTAGCCTCCCCTGTACCGGTCAGCTGAGCCTGCTCCGTGAGTATCCCCCCAGAGTCTGGTGATGGGGACCATCACTGAGGGCCAGGGGGGGAGGCACCTGCCCCAGGCCGAACAAGTGGGTGGCAAACCCAGAACTGGGAGCTTGGATGAATATCATGACAGCACCCACGGCCAGCTGTGGAGTCTGGCAGCATGCCAGCACCAGGTAAGGCAGGTGCTATTTTGTCCCCACTTTACAGAGGCAAAAACTGAGGCTCAGGGGAATTAAGTGACCTGTCCGGGGTCACACAGCTTGTCAGTGGTAGAGCTGGTTTCAATCCCAGGTGAGTCCAGAGCCGTGTCCACCCTTAGCCCCCACTGTGCCCATGGACATGGGGAGGAGGGGCCCACAGAGGGGCTGGGAGCAGAGCCCAGGAGGGCAGCCTGGCAGCCGTTGGGGGGTGCTAGAGGGGCCAGCTGGGGGTGGGGCCACCAGGAGGCTTGGAAAGCTGAGGGCAGACTGGCTGCCAAAGCAAACGGCCCGCAGCCCCGCATTCCTGGGAACTGGCTGCAGCTCCCTGCCCGGGCCAAGAGCTCCACCCTCCTGGGCCGCCCAGCAGCAGGGTTTGGAGGGCCGGACAGGGCCTGCTGGGGGCCCCATCCCACTCAGGCAGCAGAGCAGGGCCCCAAATGTGGGTCAGACTGTCGGGGTCTCCACCGGGCTCTGTTGCTTCCTGCCAATGTGGCCTGGGGCAGGTCGACTTCCTGTCTCAGCCTCATCATCTTCATCTCTGAAATGGGATGATGATGATAATAGTAACAGGACCCCCGTGTCAAGTTTTGGGGAGAAATCAATGCAATGCTGTATATCCAATCACAGTGTTTGCCATTAGCATGTAGTATGTCATATTCAGCACCTAGAACAGTGCCCGGCGCATAGTAGGTGCTTAATAAAACTTGTTGAATGAACTGTGGCCATTGCTGAGGCCCCAGCCTTTGGCCCATCTACAGCTGAGGTCAGAGGAGCAGGGACTGGCCCTCCCCTCTACACCCACAGACACTCCGGTCTCATCCTGAACTGGAGAGCCTGCCCACCAGGGTGCAACCCTGTGACCCCCAGAGGGCCTCAGG